ACAAAGAAAATTCTGTATCTTGATGCATCTCTCTAGTCCTTCCCAGGACTCTGGAGGGTGAGGCAGGAGGATCACTTGAGAAACAAATGTGCCTGGAAAACAAAGCAAGATCCCATCTCAAAAAGGTAGATTTCTGTAAAGTTGGAGTTATGGAAAAGAAATAGAGGTCTCAGAAAAGAAAAAAATATATATAAAATTAAGAACAGACTGAAAGAGTTAACAGTAGCATAATTCACAATAGACCCAAAAGAGAAACTACCCAAATGACCATCAGTTGACAACTGGATGGACATAGGTGCTGTAGCCACACAATGGCATGTACAGTAATTCACCCACTAAAAAAATTACCTGAAAAGTACACTGAAGGGAATTTTAAAATTATCTAAAATATTGTAAGCACACAGATTGAAAGAACAGAGGTCTAGGCAAGCTTGGTGAACAAATGCAACAGTGAGGCCGGGAACCTGAAGGACCAGAGGTATTAGTCAGAGAGCAGAACTACGCATTTCAGATTTCAGAGATTACAATTCTGAGTGCGCAGGCACAGAATACAGCTGTGGAAAATGGATCACAGAGGTCACAATCCCAGGAGTCCACGAACTTCCTAAGTATAAACACACATATGCAGCCATCCAGGAGGAGGCACTGAACAGTGAAAGAAGGGGGGGAAAGCCCAGAGAGAGACTGGGGCTCTGCCTTAGTAGAGGACAGCCACTACCAACAGGAGGTCACAGAGGGCAGACCTCTACCTAAGAGTAAACATCAAGTGAATCTAGGTAGTGGCCCTAAGGCATCCACTCAACAAGTTTTTTACCAAAGCATTACTTTGTCATAGGCACTTGGCCAGATGACAGAAATACCATTTATTTGCTAACTTGTTTTGAATATGTATTATCTCCTCTAATTCTCATTCTTTCACATGTAATTCAGGGTGATACCAACTGTGCAATAAGTAAACATATGGTTTTATATCCAGTAAGTGCAAAATAAATGAGGGTCTTTTGGTGCTGTTTTGTTGGCTTTTCTTTTAAAAACAATCTCTGGGGTTGCAGAGATAGCTTAATGGTCTGTGCGCCTGACTCAGATTCAATCCCCAGTACCACATGCTGTGCTGGCCCAGGCACACACAGCCGGCCACCAAGTCGGAGCATGGTGGTACATGCGTATAATCCCAGCAGTGGGGAGGCTGAAATAGGAGGATCACTACAAGTCCATGCTGCATAGTCAGACCCTATACTAAATACATAAAATTAAAATAATAAATAAAACAATCTCTGTCTTTAAGAAGCCAGTAGTCTCTTGTTTGGTTTTTTTTCCTCCTGTGGTACCAGAGATTTAACTCAGGACCTTATGATCACCAGGCAGGTGCTTAAACCACTGAGCTCTCTCCCCTGCCCGACCAGTAGTCTCTTGAAGAGACATCATGATCAAAGTTTGTGTAGAATTTGCCATATGCTAACCATGCTAAGCACTTTACATGTACTATCTCCTAGTATCAGAAGAACTCTGTAAGAGGGAGGGAGGGGCAGATAAAGGGATGGAGGCAGACAGGCAGGCAAGCAGGCAGGAAGGGAGGGACAGACAGACACACACACTTTCCTCATTTTTGGAGATGATGCTGAGGCACAGAAAGACTGGAGATCTTGTCCAAGGTCATGTAGCTACTAAATGGTAGAGCCACACTCAAATCCAGACAGCTCCAGGCTTCGTACTCTGAACTATTATGCTATGCTACAAATCAAAAATTACAATTATATTAATAGTTTAAGTGGAGTAACATGAAAAAACAGTGCCACACACACACACACACACACACACCCAAAGTTTGCCAGCATTTGAGCTAAGTATAAAAGGTGTCTGCTTAACAGGAAGAGGCATACCAATGAAAAGATGCAACAAAGATTACATCCAGACGGCAACTCTGATGCGTTATGGTGCTGCTGATGCCAGAACACCTTGCAGAATGGATCAGTAATTGGCCTCAATAAACAATAGTGCTCATGAAGCACTAATTACTAGAAAGAATGTAACTACTGATAGCATACATTATAAGCAAAATAAGTGTGAGCCAAGTCATCAAGCTAGTTTAACCTGTCACTGACATGATCTACAATGATACGACAGGTAGAACTTGTCTTGCACAGTTATGAAATCACTTAGAGCAACCCAGCCCTGTCCCCCCTTAGTCTTTCAATGCCAACACCCTTACTAACAAAGAGTCATTGCTCCTCTCAGCCTTTTTTCTCTATACCACCTTTCCACAGTTCTAAAGTAAAAATGACAACAGCTTAACAGTTTGAGGGAAGTACATTTTATAAGGGATCAGATCTTAAAGCCAAAAAAACATCAAAGCATGGAACCTTGGGGGCAGAGAAAAGGGAAAAAATGAAAGCTACCTCAAATGCTGTCAAGTTTCTACCATGCCCTTCATAGCCCTTTGGGTAAGAGACTACAAAATGAGCTTTAGAGTTTCTTCTTATCAATGAAAGTCAATATTTTAATTTTTTTCTTTTTGATGGTATTAAGGATTGAACCTAGAACCTTGGACATATTCAGCCACTGAGCTACATCTCTAGCTATTTTTTTTTTCCCCCTAAAAACAGCATCATTCTATTTTGCCTAAGCTGCCAGGCCGGCCTTGAACTCATGATTCTCCTGCCTCCACTTTCCAAGTACAGTGTACGCTGACCACAAGCAAATGATGGGGGAGTAAAAGGAAAGGAGAGAGATTGGAAAGAGAGTGGAAGGAGACTGGGAAGGAAGGAAGGAAGGAAGGGGACAGGAAAGGAGTGGGGAGGGAGGTAAGAGGGAGAAGGAGAGAGACAGAAAAAAAACTGCTCATAAAAGCAAAAACACTGTCAGATTCTGTTTATGTACTTTAAGTTTTGAAGACTGTATGTCCCATGTATAGTGTTACATTTTATTTAGATGCAATTGTACATAACAAGAATAGCTAGCTTTTATTATACCACTCTGAGATTCTCTAAAAAGATTTGGCCTTCTGTATATTGTCATAAATTTACTGTAAAATTAAAACTGCATTGTCTGCTGTCTACCTCAAGGGTTTAAAATTCTGTTTCAACAAGTACTTGAAAATAAATGTAATGCTTCAGGGTGAAAAAACAAAATAGAACTGAAGAGCTCACACATATAATTGTTAATTAGAAAACAAAGGAAAATATTTGAAAATAATACACTTACCCAAAATTAAAATAATAATTCTTTAAAACACTTGTCTGAGGGCTGGGGAGATGGCTCAGTAGAATAAGCGCTTGCCTGGCATGCGCAAGGGCCTGAGTTTAATCCCCGGTTCCGCAAAAAAAATAAAATAAAATAAAAATCTTTGGGGCCAGGGAGATAGCTCAGTAGAATAAGCACTTGCCTGGCAAGCTCAAGGGTCCGAGTTCAATCCTTGGGTCCGTCAATAAATAAATACATACATAAAATAAAACAAAACACTTGTCCGGAAGCTTGTTATTATTCCTTAGAAAGTTGCCTAGAGTACGCATTCCCCCAGCACAGGTTCCAAAGGCCCTGAGGTACACACAAGGGGCACTAAACTAATGAAGCACAGGGCTTCTGCTCTGCATCCTCTAACTCTGTCATGTGAAGTGAGTAGCCTTTGTTTTTCTGGGCTTTGCAATCCTCATCTGTAAGGTGAAAATGATAATGCCCTTCCTACCTACCTCACAAAATTATTGTAAAAATAAAAAATACTGTACACACCACCACACAGCTTTAAAAATTATAGAGTACAGCCAGGGATAGTGGCACATACCTGTAATCCCAGCTGAAGCTAGAAAATTACCAAGAGTTTGAGGCCAGCCTAGGTTACATATAGAATTCAAAGTCAGCCTGAGCTACATAGTGAGAATTTGTCTCAAAAAAAAAAAAAAAAAAAAAAAACTAAAAATTTTAAATTTAAACATTTTTATAGAGAACACAATATAAACACTAAAATTTTCTAAATTGCTAGTCTGTTTTACATATGTAACTAATACTACTGCTATGTACAGTTTCTATACTATACATAATATATAGTACTATAATTATTTTGTGATCTCAAAACATTTGAGAATATCCTTCAGAGCATTTAGTCTAATATACATTATATCCTGCTACTCAAAGTACAGTCCACAGCCAACACTGTGAGGCAGCTGGAATCTGTTTACAAACACTGAATCTCAGGTACCCCGATCTACAAAATCAGAATCTATATTTTCCTAAAATAAGATTTTCATGTGACTCCTATGCACAGTAAGCTTTGAGAAGCACTCCTTCACAAAGCAATATCATTTACAACAATAATCATATAAATAGAAAATTATTTCCAGAAAAAAGGATTTTAAATATATACATGTGACTTATCTCTAGAAATTTAAAATATTTTACTAAACAATAGTTACCAAAGAACACCTAAACAAATGGAGTCAAAGCCATTTCTTATTCTATGTAATACTTCTGCCTGGTTCTTAGCAGGCAATGAATGCTTCTTTAGATAGATACCAAAACTATCAATAATTAATATAAAATGTAGAAATCATGTACATTTTACCCTTATACAAAACATGACTACATCAATTATGAAGTTTACAAGTGTTTTTGGCATTACTTTAAAAATGGAAGGAATATTTCAAATTTTATTTGCATTTAAACCTGGTCACACCTACATAAACAAGAATGGCCAGCGTATGTACATATGACACTTATTAAGCATTAAAAAAGACAGACACCATCTTTGGAGGAAAAAGCCCAGAATAACCCTCCAGCAACATAAAGGATGCCAGTTTTGAAGCCAGCCATGGATACAAATTCTTACTCTCGCACTTTTAAGATCAGATTTTCATCAAGTAAATAATGTTCCTAGCCTTAATTTACTCTTTTATAAAACTGAGATCATAGCACCTACCATCAGAGAGATGTAAGATAAACTAGTACTACAGGCATTAATACTTTATGGAAGATAAGAATATTTTAAAAATTAAAAATTTAAAGTGTACCTTGTCGAGTTTTAGTTCCAATTCTGCTACATCTCCTTCTACTTCTTCCAAAGCAGCCCTAAAAAAATTAAATATAAGTTATTTCATTGTTTAAAGATACACTTTACTCTTAAGAAAAATAACTTTTCACTCTAGTGAGAAGGCAGATACCTTAGAATAAAGAACAAATGCTTCATAATCATGCAATACAGGAGTCAATAAAAATATTGCTTAGCACAACGACAGAACACAGGCTGACTTTATTATTCATATTAATTAATAAGATAATTTAGAACTACTTAGCATATATTTTAAAAATATAGTTTGTAGCAAGATGCTAAAAAACACAGAAAAGACACAATTTAATAAGTAATCACAAATCCTACCTCTATTACAAAAAAAATTTTAAAGATGATTGTTATGGTTTCTGTATAGGTGTCCCCCCAGAGCCTCATGCAGTCTTGGGGCAGCTTCTGGAGTTTGTGATCCATTACTGTGGGTGTGGATGCTGCACCTGCCCTGGGGCAGGTAGTTTGCATTACAATGTAAAGTGGGAAGAGAAGCTAGCTGCTTGAGCTGCTGCTCCTCCTCCCTTGTGCATTTGCTCTTTGCTGCCAGCATGAAGGGTTGCTTTCTGCTATGTGCTGCTCTGCGTTGGACCCAGATGAGTATGGACTGAAACCTCCAGTAACTGAGCTACATAAACCTCTCCTTCCTTTATTTGAGTGTCGGGTATTTGTCCCAGCAACAAGAGAAGAGTAACTAAGACAATGAATGACCCTTACAAAGAATCAGATTTCCACATTCATGTAAGAATGGTGCTACAACTATCACCATTAATAATAGTAACACTCACTGACATTTATATCTTTCACTGTCTGCCAAGTTCCACTTCAAGTGTTTTATATTCCATTTTGTATTTTAAAGTAATCTTTTACATACCTGTAAAATAGATTGCTGAGTATTTGATACAAATTTCAGCAAATCTATAAGTCATTTAGGTAAAACTGGCAGCTTTACTATGTTTAAATTCAAAATTCATTTATATTGATTTCTTTCATCAGAATTTTGTAGTTTTTAGTTTTGAGTCCTGCATGTTTTTGTTAGTTTTATACTGGGTATTTAATATTTTGAATCATTAGAAATGATATTGTGATTTAAATTATTGTTTCCATATCTTCAATGAGAGCACACAGAAATTCAATTGAATTTTGTGGGTTTATCTAATATCTTTGTGTGTGTGTGTGTGTGTGTGTGTGTGGAACCGGGGATTGAACTCAGGTCCTTGAGCTTGCCAGGCAAGTGCTTATTCCACTGAGCTACCTCCCCGGCCCTTATCTTACATCTTATGACTTTGCTAAAATCAAATTTTAGTTACAGGGCCGTTTTTCTTTGTTGTTGTTGTTTTGGTATATTTTTTAGATTTTCAATAGAAGACATCACGTCATCTGAAAATAGCAATGGTTTTCTTTCCTTTTTGTATGTCTATTTTCTTTTCTTGCTTTAGTGCACTGATTAATACTTTCAGCACTATGTTAAAGTGGTATAAAGCAGGACTGTTGCCTAGTTCTTGAGGTAAGAGGAAAACATTCAGGCTCAGATTCATGTAAGCTACAGGATTTTGTAAATGCTCTCTGTAAAATTTAGTAATTCTCATTTATTCCCATTTTACTGATACTTGTAATGAGTAGCTTTTGAATATAGTAAAACCTTGAATCGCTAGTAACTTGTTCTGTGAGTATTCTGCAAGATAAGCAGAGTCTGCCAGACATGTGTACATCAGGTAAAGAAAACATTGTACAAATATTTTAATACTAAATTGATTTCAATGTCATGAGATTAATCCAAGTTACCTCTGGTCTCTACAATTACAAGAGGTGCTTAAAGTGATGGCCATGAGATTCCAGACATTTATTAGTATGGTTAATGGCTGAAGTGTGTATGATAATAAATGTTACATGATCACAACTGAGCCAGCCAGCCTGCCTGCCTGCCTACCTGCCTGCCTCTCTCTCTCTCTCTTTTCTCTCTCTCTCTCTCTCTCTCTCTCTCTCTCTCTCTCTCTCTCTCTCAAGGATTGTGGGTAATCATCTACCAACAACAGGAAGTTATGAAAAAGCTCTTCAGCAAGGGAAGAGGAGAAAAAGATGAATCCCTCTCTCCCTTAAAACGATGTTAGGAAGATGTGTAAAATGAGGGAAACAGTGCAAAATTTTGTAGAAGAGCAACACCTGAATAAGGCTGTAGCCGCATGAGCAACAATTCTGTTTAACAACAATGCAAAATCACATTTTGGCACAAACCTCAAATGGAAGCAAAAGCAAGAGGCATTGGCTAGATTCCTTATTAAAACTGCATGAAAAGAAAAAGATTCCACTGAGAAAATAGCAGCGATTCTGTTAGTGACAGTGAAAAGTTGTCCTACACAATAACTCACTTCTCTCTTGAAAAGTAAGTGAAAGTTAATTTTTTTCTCTGTTTTTATTATTTTATATTATCTTAAAGTATTGTAACTTTTATATGAATATTTTTGGGTTATGAGATGAATCACCTGAGTTTCCTTTATTTTTTATGGGGAAATGTACTTAATATACAAATGTTCTGGATTATAAATGCACCTCTAGTTGCCGGGGAGATGGCTCAATAGAATAAGCACTTGCAGGCTCTGAATTCAATACCTGGTTCCATAAATAAATAAATAAATAAATACAACTCTAGAATGAATTATACTTGTAAACCAAGGGGGAAAAAATCAGATTTCTAAACAAAAAGCATATGCAAACAAAAAGCAAATCACTGCCGATAACCCATGAGGATATATTTTTAGAAACAGCTTAAAAAAAAAAAAATCACGTATTTTAAAAATTTATTAAAAATCAGAAACAAGAGTGTGTGGGAGAGCTTCCGGCTACCCTGCGCCAACGGGACCTACCTGTCCCAGCCCAGGCGCAGCTTGGGTGAGACCTCTTTCACGCCCTTGGGACGCCCCCATACCACTCCATAGCACCTCCTACACCCCGCCCGCAAAGTAGAAAGTTCTGCCACCTTCCGGGAACACACAGATCCAGTCCTAGCCCAGGCCCGGTGACTGTGTGGGAAACCTTCTGGCTACACTTCACCTGCGGGACCTACCAGTCCCAGCCCAGGCACAGCGTGGGTGAGACCCTCTTTCACACCCTTGGGACGCCCACCACCACTCTATAGTACCCCCCCCCACCCTGCCCATCGAGTAGGTATTTCTGGCACGTTCAGGGAACCCCCAGATCCAGTCCTAGCCCAGGCCCAGTGAGTGTATGGGAGAGCGGCCTCTCCCCCTTAATCCACTTTGTCCCCTCCAGACTCAGCTCAAGCCTGGCATACAGGCCTGGGGTGAAACCCTGCAGCTGCAATCCCTGCAGAGAGTGTAGGGGACAGAACCATCCAGCTAGTCCAAGAGCAGAACATCTTGCCAGAGAGGCACAACAGGTTCACCCCCAAGGGCAGCAGCAGGAAGGAGCTGAACACAGCAGCCAGACCCAAACCAGGCACAGCTGGATAAATCCAAATTTGTAGATCTGCACCTGAACTGCAGTAGGTGCTAAGGTTATAACTGCAACAAAGACCTACAACAAAGGTCAGAAGACAGTGCTACACAAAATGACAATGAGAAGGAGCAAACTGCAATCTCAGAACCCAAGCCCACCCATAACAAGGGCAGAGGACACTAACACAGAACAAATCGGGAATCACACAGCTGAAAGCAATGAATCAACAGCTTCTGAAAGAAAGAAACAGCTGCAGAAAGGTATAGAGGAACTCAG